GACTATTTCCTTCTGAAAATGTTGTGAGTATTGAATTATTGCTCAACAAACATTTATTGAGTACCTAATTTGCACTGCTACTGCTAATAGTAAAATACATATTAAAGACTTTAGTCCTGGTCACTGATTTGTGGCATGTATAGCCTTAGTGTATGGACAAGCAAACTAAAGCATAGAGGATGTGATTTGTCTGAGATGCCACCTTCAGTAAGTAACAAAGCTGAGATCTGAACACACTGTTTGCAGATCCCAAGCACTCAGCTATTTACAACTGAATACAGTTTTTGACAGCAGGTGCTATTGTGACAGTTTAATACAATCATAGAATGCATATTCTGATAAACCAAAGATTTTTGAGACTCTCTACAATTATTTTTTAGCATCAACCACATGAAATAACTTAACCATACTTTGATGATTCATATGGTATGATGGAATGGAATTATAATGATTCTTGTTATGTCATTCCAATATACATTTGGAATAGAAGCAGGCAATCCCCCTTTCTGGTTAATTGAATGCCAGATGGTAGAGGGTCTATGGTTTATTATGAAAGACTCCATTATCTTTCCCAAAGATAAAACTTGGACTCACTTTCTCCTGTTCTCTTTTTAGTTTTCATAGCTCAAGAGTATATAAATTGAGGGATGTGTCCTTTAACTTAACAATATTATTCAGCTCAGATAGCACAAAAGAAGACTTCTGCTTCAGGTGATCAAAGTGGATAAAATTCTCTAATGCTGTAGATGCTTCCCAACAAGGTAGAAATTGGAGGATGGAGTTCCATGTTATGTCCCGACTTCATTGAATTTGGCTTTTAATAAATTTCTTATCTATTAATGATAATAATAAATATATCATACAAGTGTCTTGAAAGCATGTGGAATTAGCTTGACAACTGACCAAGCCTAAGAAGTGTGTGTTATTGATATCTATGATGCAAGGCACTCTTTCAGAGTTTACTTGTGAATTTAAATCTTCCTGTGGGCAGAGTAAAGAACATACTATAACATCTACACAGTGTGACAGTATAGGGGGAAAGCCTCTTTTAAGTTGGCTGCTATGAGCTCCACCAGGCAATGATGTTGACAATGATTATGAAACCAAGATGAAATGGAAGAAAAAGAGAGAGACGCACAAGGAGAATGAGAGGGGGAAATATGATGTACAGGAGCAAAAATGGCGGCTTTTGCAGCCAGAAATAATGGAATTGGAGGGAATCTCAGCTCAGCTACTTGTTAAAGAAAATCTCGACAAATTAACATTTCATTTGAAAAAAGAAAGATTTGAGAATTAGCCAATCCCATAGCCAAACGATGTCCACAGAGTTCCACTCTGAAGTGTGAGCAGACAGCATTTGTAGATAGAAAATAGAATCAGCATGATTGATCACAGCTCCATGAATGTCAAGTTTGCTTGTGGTTTGATAACTTGGCAGCTTTGCTTGACTGATGCTCATCTGGTGACTAGAGAAGCTCAGTTATTCTTACACAAATATATTCACAAGTTAGGATTTCCATTTGTTACTTAGATCATAGTGTGTTATGTAGGTCTCAAGAGATGGAGGCAACTTCAGGCTAAATTTGGTTTAATTTGACATACAGTTAGTCTTCTTAACAGACTCTGCACCTGAAGATTCAATCAACTATGAACTGAAAATGTTTTAAAAATTGTTTCTATATGGAAATGTACAGGGAACAAGTTTAACAAAAAAATTTAAGGGATAAAAGGGAAAATTTCCCCTTTTTTCCCTTCTGTTCAAAACTATATTAACTAATTCTATTACAGTGTGACTTAATATTCAAATTATATTGCTACACATAATATAAAGCATGTTTTAATAAAAATAACAATGTAATATAACAGTTATTATATAGTATTTACATTGTATGGGGCATTATAGGTAATGTAGAGATTATTTAAAATATATGGGAGGATATACATAGCTTCTATGGAAATACTTCATTTTGTATAAAGGATTTGAGAATTCTTGGAGTTTGGTATCATAGGGGAGGGGTGTCCTGAAACCAATTCATCGTGAATATCAAGTGATGATTATGCATTTAAAAAGTAATTTATTTTTTAAATTAGCAGGTAAAGTAATAATTCGCATATGAGAATTTCATATATATTGCTTCCATTGACCCTCTACCCACGTTCCCCTCTCCCATTCCTTGCTCTTCCTGGCCCTGCCCCTTCTTCCCTCCAGTAGCCCATGTAAATAGGATGACTATACTTCTTCAGCAACATATTTAACTTCCTTTATATTTGGTTTTTCCGCTTTAGGTGGTAATAATTCTTTCCCGTTAATTGTGAAAATTGGAGGCAAAGCAGATTAAATCCCAAGTATAGAAAGTGGTGTGGAGTTAGCCCCTAACAAGTGCTCTGTTGAAGGGAATGCCAGGCCTTGCTAGACACTGAATGTCAACAAATGAGTCCAGTTGTGGCCTCTGCATAGTAAGCATGACATCCATTATCTCAAATGCCTTCTATACCACATTCGATTTTTTCACACATATAAATTACTTTGCTTTTTAGCCTATTGGAACCTTCTTGCTTTCCCCTCCACAAAACTGCACCCAGCACCAGCTATCCACAGGTGAAATAAACCCTGTATCTGTGAAGGACTTCAAGCTACTGATGCCCTTTGGAGTTTTCTGATCCAGACTACCAGGAGGCTTTTTAATGATGTAATCTAAACACATAAACTCTGGTCTCTCTCTAATCCTAGAGTTCCCTTATCTCCTTCCCCTTTGGTGAGGGAGGGACACCTTGTACTGTTGCCTCTGAAGTTTCTTCCTGTGAGACTTCTAGGAAACTTAATACGCACCAATAATATAAAGCTTGTTTTGTGCCATTGCTACATTGTGGGTCTTTCTTTTTGGCCTACCCTGAAATCTGCTAAAGTCATTGGACTTCAAAGTAGAGGTCAGAAAGATAGGGTGTAGTAATGTGTGTGTGGCAATGAAGAAGAATAGGAAGTTAATTGAGATTTTTTTGTGTGTGGGTGCAATGTTATACATGCCATCCCAGAATATCCAAGTTCATTCTTACAACAAACCATTTGGGAAAAAATTGATTGCCAGGTTATTGATGAAAATGTCAAGGCTTGAGAGTGAGATAGTAAAGTTGGAGGATCTGAATGCAGTCACCACGTCACATCCCTCCTCCTTGACTTTTCTCTTTTGGGCAGCCTGTTTTTCTGCCTTATTAGCTACAGTGTCATCTACTTGACAGCTCTATGGCAGATCTAAGATGCTTGTGGCTAATGGATCTTTAGAGGTGCTTTGTCCCAACCTGTGGGTAGACGGAGGCAGGGAAAGCAAGGGAATCCATCCCACTCCTGCCACTGAAGGTTTAACTTCAGGCCTTTGTTAGGATTCTTTTCTGCAGGCTGAATTTCTCCTTCCTATATTTTCATTTTACCTTGTAGATATGAACAGTGAGCTTAAATCCTCTCCTTTCCTTACTTCGACACCTTTGAACTGCTCCATGCAAAGAAGCAGAGATGTCTCAGTACTGGCTTTGTCAATGTTTGGTCCCAGAAGCACCATCAACTTGGTTTACTTCCTAGAACCTGTGTCTACATGAACCTATCTTGGTTTACTTCCTAGAATCCTGTGTCTACATGAACCTATCTTCCCAAAAGGCAGATTTGCCTCTCTTTTTCCCATGCCATTGGATGATAGTGATAAAGTGGCCCTCAAGAATTTAGATCAAGTTTTAAAATTTTAAGAATCGAATTATGTCCCCTCTTCATTATTGTTCTCTTTCGAATTTTATTTACCAAATTTAATCTCAAGAGCCATATAATATAGCCTTTCCTGACATTTGGAATGTTGCTCTTGTTTGAATAATCTCACTGCTTAATTGCCTCTTATGGTATGTCTTCTACTGACATGATTTTAAAATTTTATATTTATTTTGCATATGTGTGCATGTACATATGCACATATATGTGGGGGTCATGTGTGTGGAGGTCAGAGGGCCTCATGGGAGTCAGTTCTATTTCCACCATGTGGGTCCTGGAATCAAACTCATGCCATCACACTTGGCAGAAAGTACCTTTGCCCCCTGCACCACCTGACTGACCCCTACGGATATGATTTTGTCAGCTATGCTGTTATCTTTGATAACTCTTTGATGGAAAGGCTTGTTTAATCACTTTTGTGTCCTTTGTGGCATCTTCCTTATGGGCTCTGTAAGTATTTTAGGTAGAAAGTATTAGTTAAAATGTCCAATGATATGTGTAGTGTTTTAGGAGAATTGCTAATTACACTACAAAGTGATTGAAATGAAAGGCAGAGATGGGGTTCATGGCACTGTGGATGCTGAGGTTTCCTCAACTGCAAAATGCCAGGCTAATAACTCCCCCCACATTTCATCAGGACAGTGTGTGGATCCAATGGGATAATGGGTACGGTGGTGCATTGTAGACTATGAACTGTTATACTGATGCAACATCACGCAGTGCACATTGGAGATTTAGATTTACACTTGTATCAGTATACAAGTGGGGTCTAAGGAAAAGGCATAAGGCATCATTCGATGGATTTGAAGACAACTGCATTCTGAAGCACTTGATTTTACTTCCCAGGTGTATAATAAGTTAGGTCTCAAACTCACAGAGATCCGCCTGCCTGTGCCTCCTGAGTGCTGGCATCAAAGTTGTATGCTACCATGCCTGGCCAGTTTTGCTTTTCTGGTGCCCTGGAGGTTTTAGCCTGCACCTCTGTTAAAAGAATTGTTAGACATTTCTTGGAAAAAATCAGATAGGCATTACGATTCTTAATTAAAGAATTATACACAGGAATGACTGTACATTTAATCCTAAAAGGTATAAGTTGTTGAAGCTGCAAAACCAGAAGTAAATGGATTCTTTTCAACACAGGAGGTGAGGTCCTCTTCCTCGGGATGGCACTGCTGGTGAACTATACAGATCTGGATGTGCAAGTCCATATGCAGGACACCTTGGCTCAGGTTCTCTCGCAGACAGCTCGGGGCCTGGAGGTGGTACTGCCCCCACTGCCACCTGGCAGACACACAATTTCAGTCACCATCAATGGCATCAGCATTCGCTCACAAGGGTAAAGTGGACAAGGCTACTGTTTGGGGTTTTTGTGATGGAGTAGCAACTCATTTGGGGAACTCTAAGTTAGGTGACTTGCTTTTTCCACATAAAGTGAGGTGATAAAGATCTGAGAATCATAACATATGAATGAAGCTTGAAGCCCTGAGGACAGTTCACTCCTAAATTTGATGCAGAAGGAAATGTTGGCTTACTTGTTGGGGAAAAGGGGAACGTTCTGGAATTTGGTTGAGGTGGGGATGGGTTGGACATTTTTACCTGAAGAAGGGAAGGTTGTGCTAGCAATTTCTGATAAGATCATATCCGAGGCTTTGAATAACTGATTTACAGTGATTGTACAAGCCATGCCTCCTACCTCAACCTCATCTCTATCTTTGCCCTGAATACACTCTGTCTAGTATTTCTCTAGAACGTCTCTCTCCCCAATCAGAAAGCAGCTAACCTACTTACCCAACCAGGAGAATGTCCCATCCATGTCCGCACAGTTTCCTTTCCCCCTAGGAGCACTGTCATTGATACTTGCTCTCCAGCTCTTTCTTTCCTTCTCCCCTCAATACAAGCATCTTTTCTATCTTATTCTTTTCTTTCCCTCTTTGTATGTCGTTGTGACTTTCTGACAATACCCCTTGTCTTCTCTAGGGTTGATCTCCACATCCAGTACCTCACAGACGTTTTCAGCTTTGAGCCTTGCTGTGGGTCTTTTCTGGGTGAGTAGTTCTGCTATCACACGTTATTTATCCAGCAAGTTGTTTTACTGGATGTTCAGATTTTGGTGCTGGATTAATTAGCTCATGAGGCTGCGGCCATGGGCAGCAGGAAAGGAATTTTTCCTTGAGTCTCAGAGGAGCCATGCTCTTCAAAGCATGTGAGCTCTTGTGGGGCCTAAACTCTGTGAACTCAGGAAATTAAAGTATTTATGAAAAGGAGAGGTACCTGGCTTTCTTTTCCTAATGAGAATGCTGAAACATCTCCTGGGCAGCACACTCAAGCAGATATTAGGAAAAAGGGACAGGCTTCCTGCATTAGCCTTTTTGATACTGCATGTGCAGGGGAAGAGGAAGGAGTCTTTGAAGTCATCACTTTCCTCTAGGGATGCAGACGGGGGAAGATAACTAGAAACACGAATATAATCTGGGAAACTGAAGACAAGAAAGAGCAGTGGATAAAATTACTCAGTCTCAGGAAAACATTGAGAAGCTATGCACTGGCGTTTGAATAAAGATTGTGACAGTATGCGAAATAACACATTCTTCTTTTTGAACATAGAAAAAGTCTTTTTAAATGTGTTTGGTTACGATGTGGGTTATATTGCTCTAGCACCTGTCCTCAAGGTAGGTTTTAATCTTTATCTCTCAAGTACAGAGCCAGACAATGTCTGTGGATGTAATAGCAAAGTCACTAATATGATTTAATGACTTTGGAGCTCATATATATATATATGAGTCATGGAATACATAAGCCATATTAGAATATATGAAACTGCATATTGAATCTTAGAATATTGTATAGAAAATAGAGACAATAAACTGACTTCATTGAATTTTATTTCTCTGGCAAGTTTAATGTACATAAAGCTATATACATATACATAGACACATAGAATACTATGTCAGATAGTGTGACAGATAACAAGGGAATTAAAGAATTTGATTTCTCAGTAGCATGTGAGTTGATAGAAGTGGTGGCATCTGAGACATATAAAGTTACTCTGAAAGTTTGTCTTAAGTGTTAAAAATATCCTTCCTGGGGCTGGAGAGATGGTTCAGTGGTTAAGAGCACTGACTGCTCTTGCAGAGGATCTGGGTTCAATTCCCAGCACCCACATGGCAGCTATGAACCATCCTTAACTCCAGTTCCAGGGGAATCTGAAGCCCTCTTCTGACCTCCACGGCATTGCATGACATGGGTGCACTCACATACATGCAGGCAATACGCTCATACACATAAAATAAAAATAATAAATAAAAATTTTAAAAGAAAAAATCCTTCCTTTAAAAATATTTTATTTTTATTTATGTATATGAGTTTTTGCCTGCATGTATGTAAGTGCACCCATGTCATGCAATGTCCATGAGGAGGTCAGAACAGGGCGTTGAACTGGGGTTATTGATGGTTGTTAGCCACCATGGAACTAGGGTTACGGATGGTTGTTAGCCATCATGTCGGTGTTGGCAAGCAAACCTGGGTCCTCTGCAAGAGCAACCAGTGCTCTTAATGGCTGAGCCATCTCTCTGAGCCCCCCAAAATATCCTTCTTATAAAATAATTTCTCTTACTTTACTATTATGTGAATTTTGACACATCTGAGTCCTGGCCAAATGATTACAAACTTGGTAATGATGGGAATCTGGTAGTCACTGGAGTCTCATGTACCCCACTTCTCCCCTTAATTGCATCAGATCTGTACAGGTGTTAAAGTTCCTACTTGGAATATTAGCTTTTACATTTATTTATTTACTTATGTGTTTCATGGGGGGCGGTGCACATCCACAGTGGGCATGTGGAGGTCAGAGGACAATCTATAGAAATCTGTTCTCTCTTTCCACCATGTGGAATCAAACTCAGTTCATCAGGCTAGGTGGCATACACTTTTTACCTACTGAGCCATCTCACTGGCCTGGAATATTAGCTTTTAACTTGCATCTTCATGTTCACACTTTAGGTGGAACTATCCTCAGCATCTCAGGGATAGGACTTGGCAGAGACCCTGCTTTGATTTCAGTCCTTGTGGGTCATCATCCCTGTGATATTGTGAACTTAACAGAAGTGAGTATTTGGTGTGACACTCCTCCGTCTCTGCTGATGCCCAGTGCAGATGTTCTCATTGTCCCAGCCCCTGTGGAGGTCTGGGCTGGCAACACTTCCCTCATCCATGGACCGAGCTTGGTAGGGAAGGACCTTACCTTCATGTATGAAGCAGCAAGAACGCCGGTGGTCACTGCCATATGGGGAGAATTCGTGAACAGCAGCCTGTGGTTATATGTGGAAGGAAATAACATTTCTGCCTCAGCCATTCTTCTGGGGAGCTTGAAATGTGATGTTGAGATTCAGTCTTTTGATGGCAACATAAGCCTGCTTGGGTGCGCCTTTCCTCTCCACAATTTGGAGGCGGGAATGTATCCTCTCCAAGTTCGTCACAAGTGGATGGGGTTTGCTAATATGTCTGCAGTGCCCCAGCAATTCGAGATCACACCCCGGATAACAACGATCTTCCCAACACACGGTTCTATATGTGGTGGAACAGTATTCACCATGAAGGGGTTTGCCCTCAATTCTAGAAGGGGGTCAGTTCAGGTTGATCTCTCAGGCCCTTTTACTTGTGTGATTCTGAATTTGGGAAATGACACAATCTTATGCCAGATCAACTTGTTGAGCGACTACTTGTCGGAGCATTCCTTTGCTCTAAATGTCACTGTCTTGGTCAATGGACTGGTCAGTGAGTGTGAGGGAAACTGCACACTCTTCATGCAGAAAGACACAACTCCTTTTGTGGATGCCTTGACCACAAACATCAGTGGTTCAATAACCACACTACTTATGGGAGGTAAGAGGTTAAGCACTGCAGCTGATGAGCCAACAGTATTTGTGGACGATCAACTTCTTTGCTACCCAACCTTCTTCAATGCAAGTCATGTGACATGCCAGATAAGTGATTTGACCCCAGGACTCCACTACCTGTCAGCTCTTCGTACAAACACTGGATATGCTTGCTTGGGAAACATTTCCAGACACTTCCTCATTATGCCTCATGTGCTTGATTATTTTCCAAAGAATTTCAGCATCCATGGTGGAGGCCTGTTGGCCATAAAGGGCACAGCCCTGCGAGGACAGAATACTACATTGGTCTATGTTGGCCAGCAGGCTTGTCTAACAGTGAGCATCAGTTCTGAGCTCCTCCAGTGTATTATTCCTGCAGGAAATGGTTCTGTTGCTCTGGAAATGGAGGTGGATGGAGTTTTGTACCACATAGGAATTGTCGATTACAGCGATGCCTTTACCCCAGAATTGCTTTCTATTTCTCAGAGTCATGACATCTTAACCTTTACGGTGGCCCATATCTCAGGAGCTGCAAATGTTAACATTTTTATTGGAACCTCTCAGTGTGTCGGCGTGTCTGGTAACCGCACAGTTCTCCAGTGCATGGTCCCTTTGCTTCCTGCAGGGAAGTACCCTGTCACAGGTTATGACTGCTCCAGGGGATGGGCTTCATCTGTTCTTGTGCTCACATTGAGAGCTGCTGTGACAGCAGTGACGGAAAACTTTGGTAAGTAGAGCCAACAAGACAGAGCATTTTCTTTATTAAGTGGATTAATTGCTATCTCAGTACTAGGAAGCAGGAGATCAACTTCACTGTATGTTCTAGTCTGCTTTCAATTGCTGTGACAACACACAATGACCAGTATCAACTTGGGGAAGAAAGGATTTATTTGACTTATGTCTCCCAGGTCACAGTTCATCACTGAGGCAGCCCAAGGTAGGAGGCAGAAGCTGGAGCACAGGCCATGGAAGAACGCTGCTTACTAGCTTGCTCCACGGGCCCATGTTCAACCTGCCTTCTTATACAATACAGGACCACTTGGCCAGGATGGCACCACCCACTGTGGGCCGGCCTCTCCCATATCACTCAACAATTAAGAAAATGCCCCACAGACGTGACCACAGGCTAATCCAATGGAGGCAATTCCCAGTTGAGGCTCCCTCTACCCAGGTGTGTCAAGTTGACAACTAAAGCTAGCCAACACATTGTATGAAACAAAGAAAAAGCAGCTCAGGCGGCTCCTTACAGTCCCAATGTCTCCCTCAGACTTGTATTTATGATGCTTCATTTATGGGTTTTATTTTTCATCAAGGATATTATGCATATTCTCTAAGTATTTGATTGTATTTTAATTTGATCTATCAATCTCATTGGACACCTGTTTTAAATTAAATAATACTATTTGCAAAAGCTCATAATATGATCATTTAAGAACATAAGTGCCTTCACCTATTTTAGACATATATGCTAATTTTCATTATTGAAACTCAGTAATAATTAATTTTGTGATATTTTATAGTTGAAGTTATGCTCCACTAGCAATACGTCAATGGCACAGCAAAGTCTTTTGGTTAAACATTCCTTTTTTCTTTCAGACACAATAAAATTTGCTTAGTTTCTTATTCCAATGATGGTTTAGGTCTCTGTACTCTTATTATTAGGATGAAAGAGCTCAACTTTCACAATGATCTTAAAAGTATGAAGGAAGTTATGAAAACCGAGTCTTTGATTGGTGTGGTACTAAGCACACTGTTTCTTAGAAAAATTTTGAGGGGATGTTGGGGGATCCAGATTTGAGTTTGAGGCTGTGGTTAGTATAGCTAACTTAGGCTATAAGTTTGTAAGATTTACCATCCTGATTTTATAAAGGAGCTTGGGCTGGGCATTCCACAAATTCCTCTTTCTACTCCCTAAGATGAGGCGCTATAATTTTTACTGTGAAAGCACAATGACATGTACCCAAAGCAGAAAAATGTGAGCTTGTTGGTGGCTGTGGAGAGACCTCCATCCCTATAGAGAGATGAGGGCAGTAGAATGAAGCGCTGTGTCTCAAAGGGAGCCAGAGGGACAGTTCTACTTATGTAAATACTTACATTTTAAGTATGCTTACAATGTGTAGTTGCCTTAGCACTTATTTAACAGTGGCAAAGCACTGGGGATGGTGGCACATAACTTTAATCTCAGCACTAGGCACACCATTAACCCCAGCACTTGAGAGGCAGAGGCAGATGGATCTCTGGGGGATCAAGGCCAGTCTGGTCTACATAGTGTTTCCAGGCCAGCTGGGGCTATAGGGAGACCCTGCCTCAACAAACAAACAAACAAAATCTATTTATGTGGCTAGAGAGGCGGCTCAGTGGTTAAGATTTTCCAGAAGACCTAGGTTTAGTACTCTGCACCCACATTGTGGCTAACAACTATTTGTAGCTCCAGTTCCAGGGGATTGGATGCCTTCTCTGGCCTCTTTGGGTATTGCATGCATGTGGTGCACTTACATACATGCAGGCAAAACACTCATACTCATAAAATAAAAATAAACAAATAAATCTTTAAAAAATAGTGGCAAAAGTGGAGAAATAATTGGTGATACTAATCACCAATTTTGGGGAATGCTCATGCGATGAAATTCTAGGTATCTATTAAAGCGAGCTGAATCTATGCAGGTTTGGAAAATAACTGCTATGCTTTTAGCTCAAGAAATGAGTTGCAGAGTAATATGTACATAATGATCTCTTTGTCTCTATATGCTTTCAAAATTCTATGACTAATCATTAGTTTTACATACAAAAGTGGCTACATTTTTTCAAACACTCGTCAGCACAGCAGAACCCTGGAGATCAGAGCTCACCTGGAGAGGAACTCAAGGATGTTAGGACTAGTCGCATACATTCTGTCCAGCTTGGGAAGGCTGCAAAGCAAAAGAGTAGTTTGAACTTTGTATTCAGTGAACCAAGATTGCATCCAAGATGATGAACTTGTGGCTTTGTCTCTGAAGGCTGCCTGGGAGGACAGCTTTTGCATGTGTTTGGAGCAGGATTTTCTCCAGGGAACGTCTCAGCAGCTGTGTGTGGAGTTCCTTGCCAAGTCTTGGCTAATGCTACAGTGTCTGCCTTCAGCTGCTTGGTTCTGCCTCTGGATGGTGAGCAAAAATACCACATTTATTCTTTTCTATGTTTTTCAAGCTTGTATGTAAAACGTACATTCTTGGAATTTTTATATTTTTGTCTTTATTACTGGACTGACCACTAATGGGAATAGAATTTTCTCTCTTTTCCATCAAAACCAGGAGTCTCTAGGTGCTGGGGATATGGTTCATTTGGCAAACTGCCATCCATGAAAGCTGAGTTCAGACCCCTGCTCACATGTTAAAGCTGGGCATGGTGGTGCATGGTCATAACCCCAGGATTGGGGATGTGTGTGCAGAAACAGGAAGATCCCCAGAACTCATTGGCCAGGCAATCTAACCAAAATAGTGAGCTCTCAGGTTCAGTAAAAGACCCTGTCTCAAAAACTAGGATGGAGAGAGATAGAAGAAGAGACCCAAAAATCAACTTCTGGACTCCTCATGCTGAGGCATAGGCAAATGCACTCTCACACACATGTACACTGCATATACACACATATTCTACATATATAGACAAAAAGAAAATAAAGCAAGAGGTGGTAGACTCTGGGCCACCTATTAAAATGGCTTATTGTGCCTTTTATTGTAAGGATAAGTCAATGCTAAATAAACATTGAAAATTTATAACTGGTCATTTTCTTGATGGCTGTCATGCGACGATAGAGAATGTAGATCTGGGTCCTGAATATTTGTTTCAGTGACAGCCATGGGTGACAGAAAAGGAAGCAAGTTCTTGGTCTTGTTATGAGGTGAGATTGGAGAAGACATCAGCTCCTGGGTATACAGAAAAGCAGTGGGGATGATCAGGCTGGACATGTCTTGTTTCTGTTTGCGTATTACTTTGGTACTATGGATGGAACTGAGGGCTTTGCACATACTAGCCAAGTGCTCTACCACTGGACATCTCTTTAACAGTGGTATTGTGTGCTCAGCTCCTGGATTCTATTAGGCAAGAGTCAGCATTCACATTATTCTCCTCTTCTGACATGTTCGGTTGTCAGTAATGCCATGAATGCTCACTGTTTTGAGATCTGGCCATCAAGTGAATTATGGAAAGTGAAGCCTTGTCTTTTTGGTGGGAGAGGGGTGCAAAGCTTGGGGCTTTACCATATGTGGTAACTGCCTATTGATTTTCAGGGGGCTAAAAACCAAAACAAGGAACTTGCTTTATTACCAAAGGGCCTAACTGCTTTTGAGAGAGCCTCAATTAAGCCAGATGACTATTTTGTCCACATAATCCTAGGTGCTGAACCTTTGTGCATAAGAATTTACACTTCTCACTAAAGTGTTTACCCATATGCTTTCTGTGGAGTGATTTGAGTTAATCCTTTTGAGGGGGAGGGTGATAATTTGAACATGGGCTAAGGATTTACCTGAACTTGGACAGTAATTCCATGAGGGAATCATTCCATTGTGATGGCTAGTTACAGTCTGTTGTCTTGGGCAGGAAGAAGGAGAAGGGAGGAACAAGAGGAGGGGCAGTGGTGGAGGAGGGGAGGGAAGAATCAGGAAGAGAATGAGAAGAAAATCCTAGTTTAAAACGCTGGAAAAGTTTCCTGTTATCATCAAGCACGAAGTGGTCAAAGAGAGACCAACTCCATAGTGAAAAACTCAAGATGCAGTAGCAGCTTTAAGTTCAAGGCATTGTTTCATCTGCCATGCCACTTCCCATACAGTACAAAATTAGTTTCATGTAAGAATAAAGGGGGTAGAGAGATGGCTCAGAGGCGAGGAGCACTGACTGCTCTTGCAGAGGACCTGACTTCAATTCCCAGCACCCACATGGTGGCTAAGAACCATCTGTAACTCCAGTTCCAGGGGAAACGACAACCTCTTCTGATCTCAGCAGGCATTGCACAATGTGGATGCACTTACTGTCAATACACTCACACACCAACAAAATAATAATAACTAATAACAAAATATTTTTAGAAGAATAAATGAAATGCTTAAGAAAAGTGGGAATGAAACTAATAACTCATATTTCTACACTGTAATATTTAGTTTATACTGTGTAAGTTTTTTAAAAAGAAGCTTTCTCATACATATTGCTTAAGTTAATGAGCTTTAAACACACTTGGTATTATTTCATGACAAAAGTAGAAAAAATGAGTTATTCGGGTTATACAAACTTGGTATTGTAAGTGTGATAACTCATTTGTGAAACTATTAAAATCAATATATTTAAAAAAGATTTGATTATGTTTTAGAAATTAGGAAGTAAAAAGCCTGGATTTTTTTAAAGAGCAAAGCTGGAGCTAAAGGCTGTAACTTTCATCATGGCCACTGGGTGACACCAAACACTCACCAATTATACAGGCACACATTTGAAGAAATGGGTCCTTTGATTATCTTCTTTTTATTAAAAAAAAAAAAAAAGCCTTTGAAAAAACCTTTAATCTCATGGTCTAAAGCCGGAGAGGAACTTGTGAGCACCAAGTCCAGTGGTTCTGTACTTAAGATTGAGTTTGAGATTTGGGGATTCTTTGAACGCCCCCCCGGCTAAAACAAATGTTGAGTATATGACTGTGCCTTCATTTTCCTTTGAGAAAGTATGTCAACCATGTAGGGGATATGCATGAAAAATGATTAGAAACCACTAATAATTCTCTCACATTTAGAAAGCATTGTGTATAACCGGCGTCATTAGGGATCTGTTAATTTCAGAGGTGTTAAAGGAGACGTCTGAGCAGTAATCCTCACACCTGTATGGCAGTTGTCAGCCTTGGAGAAATCCACCATTCTACTGTTAGTGTCCCACCCTGTGCCCTCTTTCAATGTTAATCAGCTGTCAGCTTTTGGAAAGCTGAATAGCCAGTCTGCTTAGGCAGCGGTGCTCACAGTGTGCTCCCTGCAACTGCTTCTGCGGCATCGCCTGGGGATTTATTAGAAGTAGGGTTAGGGTTAGGGTTCTCAGGATTCATGGAATCTGAAACTTTCCAAATATTTTGATATTTCTTTTCTGATTTCCTACATGATTGTCTAATTCAAAACTCCAAATTAGGTGTCTTTTCTGAATAAGCAAGTTCGATACATGTTGGGAACAGCATAAAATGTCCGTGTATACTTTGGTCTCAGAATTTTGTAAAACATTACAGTGATGTCTTGCTGGTTTGCAGTCTTTCTGTTAACTACTATCTTGCTGTGTGTGCTGCACATGCTTGTGTGTGTCATGTGGGGTATGTGTATGCATGTGATGTGTATGCATGTCGTATGCGTATATGTGTGTGTATACGTGCTAGGTGTGCATGTATGTGTGCATGCATGTGGTGTGTGCCCATGTGGTGTGTGCCACTCTTCCTTGGGAGAAGTGAAAATGTCTCTCACCCTAGAAAGGGAATTGACAGTAGACCCAAGTAAGGATAACTACCGAAATCCAGTTTGGTGAACTAATGGGTTTTATTAGAGTTACTTAGAGGAATATGGTGAGAGGTTACCTACAGGAGCAGAAATGACTCAAAGACAGCTGCTGACCAAAATCAAATCTCACCCAGGATGGGTGATAGCTCATGAAATCAGGAAACATGGGGCGTGCTGTATAACTTGCAGGCAGCTTGACAGGTTGGAGAGTGGCTTTTCTGGGTCGTTTAGCTGATCTCTGCTTCTTCTAGGCAGCTTGGTTGATCTTCCTCCTAATCGGAAGCTGGGATGGCATGGGAGTATCTCTCTGCAGTCCGGACTGCTTCTATAGGCTTGGAGATGGAGAGGCCTAGTGATACTGGTCAGTTTCAGGGGCTTCCCAAGGCTTCTTAACTATTTGCTTCCTGGGCTTAACAACCATCCCCCAGATGGAATGTTTTACTTCCCTTTAGAACATATCCCATCCACCCCTCATTCCCCCATCTTAAGGAGCATCCCTCCAAGGTGGAATGTTTGATTTCAGACTGCAGGCATATGGTGTTTGTGTGTATATGGATATAATGTGTGTACAGGTGTGCATGCACATGCATGTGTTATATGTGCATGCATGTGGTGTGGGTGCTTTTGAGTTTCTAGCATGGCTGTGCACAGCTGACTTTCCTCATATTCATGTGATTTCTTTTCCCTTCTACAGTTCACTGCCTTGTTCTTTTCATTTGGTCTTCCATGTGTTTATTTTTGTTAACTTCTTTAATTTACTAAGGTCACTTTGAATACTGACCCTAGCTTTGAACTTTTTTCTCCACTTGACTTTACATGATAGGGTGGTGTTTCACATCCTAGATTATAGATAAATGTCTTAGAACCCAAACTTTCCTGATTATTGTTTTACTTGTTCCTATGCCACAGTTCTAATGTGTTTTCTTTTGCCAGTGGGATGGAGGGAGTTAAAGACAGAGATGATGAGAAAAAGTCCCTTTGCTGCTTTGGGGGTCACCTATCTTTACCTTGCCCCAAATTACACTTCTAACCAAAGAATACTTTTCCGTATGAGGAGTGCTAAAACATCCTGTTAGGTGAAACTAATACTTTGCATTTGTTTAAAATGAGCAAGATCTTTGATCTTCAGCTTTCTTGCATTTATACCTTGAATTATACCAAATGACTTTTTCATGGAAACTTTAACTTTTCCATGAGGCGTGAAAAGCTAAAGCGATTAAGGTCACAGAGCTATTTAGTGGCAGAACTTTGAGTAAAATCCATGGATTTTGATCCCCAGCCCTAGGTGCTTTTCATAATCCACCTTGTCAATTTGCATCCACTTAATCACCTGTAATGAATTCATTATTTTATAGGTGTTGAGCCTGTTTTTATTTGCCTTGGGGATTATGAACTAGAAAGTTTTCATGTTCTGTCTACCCACAGGAGAATCTTACTGTCATTTTTTGTCATAATTATTCATTCAGAACGCATTCCCAGAGAATATCCTAGGTGTCAGGTGCTTTGGAATATACCAGCAACAATAATGACATTGGATGTGATTGCATAACTGCAAATCATCTCATAGGCACTTCCCTCATTTGGTCCTTGCTGCTGGCACTTTGAGGAGGCAGGCAATCACAGATTCAAGTCTGCAGACTTTGATAATGTTTGTTGGGTAGCCGTGTGGACAGGCTAGCTGCAGAGGTAGCAGGCTAGAGAGCTTTTTGTTTTTTCTCTATTTTAGGATTTTTCAGATGGAGATCCTAATAAAATACCTTATGTATATATTTTTTCATCTTCTAATTAAGGAGTTTATTACCATTTTGCATTATTATTGCACTTTTGTATATTTGTTTGCTTTTTGAGACAGGGTCTCTCTATGTAATTCTGGAGGACCTGGAATTTGCTATGTGGACCAGGCTGGCCTCGAATTCATAAATATCCACCTATCTCCTCTGCCTCCTGAGTTCTGGGATTAAAGATGTGTGCCACCACACCTGGCTTACTGTTGCTTTTGAGATCTGCTCCTTGACTTAGAAAAAAATGGCCCAAGGATCAAAACGCATCCATAAAATACTTGTTTTTTTCTACTTTATAAATCATTACAGGTCATAATATTACAACAAGAAGTTCTGTTAACCAAGGGGTTCCATAAAGAGGAGGGAAAAGTCTACAAACCTGGGCGAGGTAATAGTAACCTCTAAAGGGATCAGTGCCCAGAATACATCAGTAGGAAAATGATAAACATCCCACATAAAATAGTCAAATGACAGGAAGAGAAATTTCAGAGGAGAAACAAGAGTTATTATTAAACATAAAAGCCATTCAATGTAAAGTATGATAAAAATGCAAATTGAGGCTACAAAGTGATACTGTGTCCTACACCCTGGATATGGAAAAATTCAGAGTCTGATCATTTCAAGCTCTGAACATTGTGTAGAATAGGGAGAACTCATAAAGAGAGCTGGTAGAGATGGAAATAATTACTTTGGAAAACAAGATGGTAGTTTAAGTTGAACTTGGAACTACAAGCTATTTTCTTCATAGACTTTTGTTATAGAAATAATTTTGTATATCTTTGTAGTAGCAAACATTCAGAAATATCCAAAAGTCCATTGGTAAAATAATTGGTAGATATATTGCAGTGATTTCACAGGACAACAGTCAGCAATATATCAACAGTAATTACATACAATGCTATGGTGGATAAATCTTGTAAATATGTCATTGAATGCAAAAGCAGGTCCAAGAGTATTATGTCATGCATTCTAGTTTTTAAAGTTCAAAAATGAAACTTAATAATCTCTTATTTAGGAATATAAATCTGTCTAATAACATGATTTTAAAAAGGGCAAAGGACAAATAGTCATTTCTGAGAATGTGGAAGGGAATGAACTTGGGGAAGAGCAAATAACGTGCAGTGACTGACAACTCTTCTCCATTTTTCTATTGTCTGAATAATCACATGGATTTTACTTATGAGGATTATATCTTACAAAAATGTTACTTATGCTCTTCTGTCTTATAATACAGACATAATACTTTTCAAAAATTATGTGTGTATGTACATGTGTGTATGTGAGCCTATGTACATGTGCATATGTACAGAGAACAGAGGATAGCCTCGCTGTTGTTCCTCAAGAAAGCTATCTATCTGCCTTATTTTGAGACAGGATCTACATTGGTGCATAATGCATATTTTTTAAAAAAATGAACTGATAATTTCATTTTTCTTGGTCAAAGAAAACATTCCTGAAATGGCCTGAGACCTTGAGTTTCTTTCCACAGATTTTTTTGTTATTTATAATAATTTACTAATTCTATGATGTAGTTCCACAGATTTATTTAACCCCATGGTGACTTTTCCAGTGTCCTTGGCTTTTCTGTGCGACCTGAGGCATGCAGAGGACATCTGTGAAGACATCAGCCATACCTACTTGCAATGTGATTTGACTGTCACCGTGGGCACAGAGAGACTGCTTGAATCCTGGCCTTACCTCTATCTGTGTGAAGAGAGTTCTGAGTGTCACTTTGTTCCAGATCACTGGGCAGAGCCAGCCTTCCCAACCTTCTCAGGTCTCTTCCTCAGGTAGCTCCATCCCCTGACCTCTCTGCCCTTCCCACCAGTGCATGACCAGTGGTTTCACAGAGCCCTCAGAAAGCACAAGCAGGGTGGACATGGCCTAGGGGCCTCCAAACCTTTCAGAGGGGCCGTTCCATCATGGAGTCCAGCCAGCCTGCATATCAAAGCATCTCCTGTCTTTTTCAAGTGTTCAAGAGAACATCTGAAAAATCTGCCCAGTAAACAGCTCACTTTGTTCCTGCTTAGATTTTAATATTTATCTTCCGATCCAAAGCAACATCTGGTGAATGCCAATGGGGAGAAAGATTAGACATTATGAAAAACAGAAGGCTTCTCCCCCCTTTCCGTTTTCTTTTCTTTCCAAACAGATTCACAAGTATGAAAAAAAATCATAGAAAAATCCAGCAGATTGCACGATGTTTATTCAAAAGAAGAGGTGGGGGGGGGCGTATGACACTGAGTTACTATAGAGCTGGGATTTAGATCCTGTAAACTCATAAGGACTTTTAGGCTTTTAAAAGAGTAAAAAAAAAATCTAACAAATAAATACCATGGCTTTTCCAGATTCAACTCCTTTTCTAAGCCAGTTTAAAAAAAATGTGGCCATGTTGGTAACTCTGTATGGCCTGAATTCCTGCCAGCAATTCTGTTCCTATCCAGGGTAATTTCTCAGCAGTGAACATTGTTTTGTGTCTTTATTGTTCGTCTGGACAGAGTAGTTACAACTGACTTTTTAATGGAGACTGATTTCCTCATCAAAATATGAAGGTGAACAAGGCCAATTGCCTGCAGTGGAGGAAATAACCAGTTCTTTCTGGGGCAGTTTGACTTTTCAGTGTCCCCAGGAGCCTGTTTCAGGAGGAATTTGCTACCAGAGATCAGCTAAAGGAAAATAATGTGATTGGCTGTTGCTTTCTTGGTAAGGTAACATAGGAAACATAGGCCTGGAGACTGTATTCAGGGGAAGCAGGATCTCGGAATTCACTAACATGTCAGAAGCCCCATGTCTGCTGATCCAGGACATTACCTGGACTACCCAAAAGATGCTCTTTGACTCTCCCAGGCCCCTCCTCTTCACTGTCAGAGTGAAACAGACCTCATTGAAAGCTGTATGGGGATGGAGAGATGTTCTTAACACTGACTTCTTACAGAAGACTGGGGTTCGATTCCCAGCACCCACATGGTGGCTAACAATTGTGTGTAACTTTAGTTCCAGGGAATCTGACATCCTCTTCTGGCCTCCGTGGGCATTGCCGGACACAGGTGCACTTGCATACATGCAGTCAATACACTTAAATATGCAAAATAAAAATAAAATAGAAACTTTAAAAAAGTTGTGTCCTTCACCCTATCAGCATCTTGCAGGTTATGGCTATGGAAGCAGGTCAAAGTGGGTGTGTTGTGTTGAGCCAGAGTCCAGTGCTCTATGATTAAACAAAGTTTACACTTTACATTAAAGAAGAGAGGGAAACCCACACAGCTCTTGGTGGGAAGGAAATACGATCTTTTTAATGACAGTAATCTCACTTCTTGGATTTTATTTTAAGAAAGCACATATAAGTATAATATTTAAAGCAGTGATGTTCTGTAAGTTTTACACTTGAAATAAGTTTAATATATACAAATGGTATGGAAATAAGTAACTTAAAATCATCATGTGGTGCATTCAAATAGGAAATACATGCAATATACTGAAAAAAATCACAGGTCACAAAGCAATGTATTCACTGAATTCTACTGTTATATAGAGCATATGTTTATGCACATGTAGATGATTAGAAAAAACAAATAAAGTAGAACTATATCCTCTGGAATGTTGATAGTGCCTACATCTAGGTGGCTGAGGTGTGAATCATATTTTATCCATTGAGTAGTTGTGTATTTCTTTTTTGCACATGTGATGATTTAACAAGAAGACACATAGTAAACTATGCAAGGGGCATTAAGAAAATCATGTACCTTATAGCTTACCCAATTCCTTGTGTGATTATGTTTGTGAATGTAGAGAAGTCTTTCACGGGGTCTTGTCACATAGTCCACTTAAACGCTCGATCTCCTTGATAACACTATCATTTTGCAAAGGCATATGTATCTGTGGGAAAAATGTGCCCAGTGCATCCATCCATCCATCCATCCATCCATCCATCCATCCATCCATCCTCTACCCACTATCACTCACCATTCATCTCTTTTTTATAATGTATTTATTTTTTGAAAATATTTTATTTATTTTTATTTTTGTGTATGAGTGTATTGCCTGCATGGAGGTAGGTGCACCCATGTGGTTCAGTGCCCACGGAGGCCAGAAGAGGGAGTCTAATCCCATGGAACTGGAGTTATGAATAATTGTTAGTTGCCATGTGGGCATTAGGAATTGAACCCGGGTCCTCTGTAAGAGCAGCCAGTGCCCTTAACTGCTGAGCCATCACTCCAGCCCACACCTATTCATCTCTTTTTTGAAGCATTGCTTTTATTTTTTATTTGTTAATTTTTTTCTGGTTCCCCTTTAAAAACTTTGTAATTGAATATTTGCAAGTTTCATGGCCTATATTTTGATCATATTTGGACCCCTCCCCTGTCTGTGGCACTCTCCTAGCACTCCTGCCAGTTTTCATTCAACCTTTAACAAGTGCTACTGTGCTCTAGGTCTAGGTGTGTTGGCAGGTCTGATGACTCCATGATGATAGGATTAGGAATGCCCATGACCTTGGGTGGGAGGAATAAGACAGCAGACATGATGGGCACAGGCGATGAGTGATATATACATAGAAAACGTTAAGACTCTTTAGACATCCCGCTCAAAGGAAACTTTCTAAGAAGAGAAGCTGTCACTATGGAGAGCTGGTGGTGTAGGTGGAAAGAGCAAAGGTGTCATAGGGTTTTATGACCTGGGTGGAGGCCAACGAGGCAGGAATAGAGTGAGACAGAAGGAAAGTGACCCCAGAGAGGTAAAGAAGGCTCTTCAGGAGGCAGAAAATTAATGACTGCTAGAGTAAGGACTCTGGGGTCTCTTCAAAGTGAAGATGAAGTCCCTTTGCAGTCTATAGCGAATCCATGGCTGTTTTGGAAGGAAACTGAAGGTTTTTGAGAGCTCACTTAGCACAATGTCTATGGTGAGAGTCTTGGAGATGCCTGTGGGGTAGGGAGATGCCGGAGACATGCAAAGCACATTCTGGTTACATGTGGAAAGAATTTCTGAATGTGCTTTTGCTGCTTGTGCTAAAGAGTACAATAGATTGGCATTGCACTGAATCTATAAATGGCTTTTGGTAGGATTGTCATTTTCACAATATTAATTATTCCAATCCATGAGCTTGGGAGGTCCTTCCATCTTCTGATGCCTTCCTCAATCTCTTTCTTTTAAAGATTTAAAATTTTCATTGTAGAGGTCTTTAATGTCTTTGGTCAGGTTTATTCTGAGATTTTTTTTTTTTGCAGCTATTATGAAGGGGAGTGTTTCCATGTACTCTTTCTCTGATTGCTTGTTATTGGTATATAGAAAGACTACAGACTTTTGTAGATTAATTTTGTAATGTGCCACATTACTGAACATGTTAATAATTTCTAAGAGTTTTCTGGTGGAATTTTTGGTCTCTTAGATATAATATATCATCTGCAAAAAGCAATAATTTGATCTCTTCTTTTCCAATTATTACTCCTTTAATTTCCTTCTCTTATCTTATTGCTCTTGCAAGAGTTTCAAGCATTATGTTAAACAGAACTGGAGATAGTGGACATCCTTGTCTGGTTCTTGATTTCAATGGGAATGCTTCCCATTTTCTCCATTTAGAGTGATATTGGCTGTGGGTTTGTTCTCTATGGCTTTAATTGTGTTGAGGTATGTTCCCTCCAGTCCAATTCCCT